ACACTAGAGCTCTGAAGCCGACTAATCAAGAGCGTGTTAAGTATGACGAAGTGATAAAAGTGATTATTAGTCATGAGCGTTGTGATGAAAATATGACTATACTTAATACGCTCTTGTTACTATATCCTATTATTATCGTCCTCGTGATTCGCTTCGTCGGCTTGAACTTATCACGAACGACGGCAAATGGCGAGTAAATTCTCTCTATAAAGTATGCTTATTTTTATTAATGAATAAATTATATAAGTCTACGACGCTTGGTTGACATTTCTGTTACAAGAAGTGCATAAAAGTACAGACAGATAATGTCTTAGCATTACTAATTCGAGAAAGTTCAAGTTACCACCATTAGCGGTCGGCAAAGGCGTTACGAGCGTAGTCAGCGATTATATAATACATAATTATGTAAAATACACGATATCGTAATTTTGTATTTCTTTCCTTTGGTGCTACACTACGTGAGCACAAGCATGTTTCTTTCGATCACACAATTGCCCCCAATGCAATTAGACAAGTCACCCACACAGGGTAAGATGGCGAGGGCAACGGCTGGTAGTACTTATGCCTGCCGATTAATAGGGGATGAAATCAGGTGTAATAGTCGAATATGGGAGTGAAAGACGGGTTACGAGGGAACTATGAATAGCTGAAGGGGTGGGTAGATGATCGAATGCATAAAGTGAAGCGTATTGGTTTTGTATTAATTTAGTGTGTGCGCGTGTGTGAGCATGCGTGCGTATGTGTGCGCCTATGAGCGAACGTAGGATTTCGTGTACGCGTGCGTCGTTCGCGTGTGTGCGTGTATGGGCGCGCGTGTGTGAGAGGGTGTGCGTGCGAGTGCATATGCGTTCGTGCGCCTGTGCTCGTTCACACGCGCATGTAAGGTGCCTGGGCAGGCACGGAAAAACACAATAGAACCGGAGTCTCATATATCAAGGAAAAGGGATTCATTTTACACTCCCAAATAACCACTGCCTAGGCAGTAGTACTCCCTTCGGCAAATAGTTGGCTTACCCAAACCCAGCCCTTAGCCTGCAAACCATAGGGGAAAAATTCAGCATCTGCTAAAAACAAAACACATATATTGTAAGAACTATACTGCATATGAGTTTCAGGTAGTTTGATGTGGAAAAGTCTTAGCTCAATGCGGCCATCTATCAAATGAAAGTGTCAATGACACTGTAGCTCACCTTGGGTGTGATAAAAGAGGAAGGGGGGGATATATAAAGCAAGAGTAGACCTATATATGGGAGAACTCCCATTATATAGCATATCTCCCATTATATACTCTTGATAATGATATATGCATAAGTTTTCATGCGAAAATAAATGTTTCAGATCTAAGTCTGAAATCTTGACGAGAGATGGCGATACGCCTAAATGGTTGCCATTTTGGTTTTCGAATATCGCGCAAATAAAAACAATAAAATATTCCAGTCAAATTACTGTAAAGAAGAATCTAAAACACAATATTACACGTATATAGGTATGATTGTAGAGTTGTTGACCAGTTAGACGAAATAAACGTAATAGGACGTTCTCATCTCTCCCATCCATAGGAGTAACAACTGTTTAGGGGCTAGCCTTACAGTTACACATTCACATACCAAAATTTAACAAATCCGAATGAATGTAGATAGCCAATTTCATTTTTGCCAAAAAGTGGGCGTGGCTCGAAAGTAGGTCGACTGGCGTCCTCCAAAATAGGAAGTTCAAATCTCTTCCATAGGAGTAACAACTGTATTCAATTTGAAACATGTGGGTAAAACAGTTCTCGAGTTATCGTTGACCGTAGGCAGAAACTGAAATGCATAGTGAAATTGCCAAAATCTACCTAATTTGCATAATTAAAAAAAAAATCAAAACTTGTGTGATGTTTTGGGCCAGTGCTCATTCATTCACATACCAGAAATGAGCAAAATCCATTGAACCTGAACTGACTTATGGCCATTTTCATTATTGCCAAAAAGTGGGCGTGGCTCGAAAGTAGGTCGACTGGCGTGCTCCAAAATAGGAAGTTCAAATCTCTTCCATAGGAGTAACAACTGCATGCAATTTGAAACATTTCATTCAGGGTCAAGCGGTTCTTGAGTTATCGTTGACCGTAGCCAAATGTTGACGGACGGACAGACGGACGGACGGACGGACGTACGACGGACGAC